AATAAACGACATAGGTGAGACACTCTTTCTCTTTATTTTAATTACTAGAATGGTTTACGGGATGATAAGTGGTGCTGGATTAAGTGCTATCAGGGGATTCTATAGTGGTTGGTCACTGCAGTTAGTCTATCAAAGCTTCCATGGCGAATAACTGTTGGATCCCCTGTGGCATTCCCGGTAAATCCATTGCCCCTACCTTATAGCGAAATCAAAGAAAGCTGTATGGACTAAATTCATATCCCGCTATTTTTTGTTCTTAAGAAAAAAATCAACACATTGGCGGCTTGGCAAAATTTTGGTGAGCAGCCTTGCTTCTTAAGTGGAAACACGCTTCCAAGTTGGCAGGTTGGTCCTGTATATAGTCTTGCATTTAACTAATAGAAATATGTAAATACTCACTGGCTGTTTACTGTACTGGTTACCGCAATTGCGTCTCCATTCGGTGCTAGTACTGCAATATTTGCAGTTCCTTTGTCGTTTTCATTTGTAAAATTTGCACCGTAATGACCGAAATCTGTGTAGGTTCGATCGTCCGAGATAAGCTTACGGGTTTCGGCCGCAAAACTGGAGCTAAGCAAATTGTTATAGGTTTCTGCTACACCTGGCTCATAGTGTATATCGCCCAGAGAAGTTCGATGGCCGTATGCATGCTTGAAAGTCTCAACCAGCCGATGCCAAAATACTGTTTCATTTTCAGCATACATCGGTTCCATTACCTTAAGTATGAAAGCTAGCACAGCACCACTTGTTGGCAAAGGAGTGGTATACAAGGTGTAACCTTGTTCGAAATTTACTTTCACAGAGTCTTCCCACCGTACTCTAGCGAGAAGAATGTTGTTTACACGTTGAAAACGTTACCAAACGTACACATATCTCAATATGTGTGTATGTACTTACTCGTAATTTTGCAAATCTGCCTCTGTTATAATACCATCCATCTCCTGTATATCTTCTACGAGCTTTTTACCTATTATACCACCTCTGTAAATAGCCTCAGGACCCTCTTCGGCCACGATTTTTAGCGTTTCACCCAATTTGCGCCGATACATGATCTCATCTTCTTTATAAAGTTCCTTAGTTTCCGGATTAATAAATATTTCAGCCATTGAGGGTTCATTGAGTATACGATCGGCATACAGGTTCAGCACGTTCGCCAAATATTTCGAAACTTTAATACCTTTGAAACACAGCTCAATGGTTGGTTCAAACAAGGACTTCCATGGCAATTTTCCATATTTTTCATGCAAACGCCAATATCCGTATATTTCACTTGGAACAGCAGCGGCGATGGCCCCTGAATCATAAAATAATAGTCCTATGCAAATAACCTGTACAAGTTGTTACCAAATCGCGTTCGTTTGGACAAAATAGTTGCAAGTAGAGGTCACAATTTTGGCATTTCATTTCGAGGGGAAGTAGTAAATCCGTGCTGGGAAAATTTTTGCAGGATTGCGGCACACGGTTGCATTTTTGTCAACAATGATTTGAATAAAAACTGTCGTTAAATTTTTAAAATGTTCAAACTTGTTTCGAATTAGTAATGAAAGAAGTATGTAAATATTTATTTGCTTAATTAATTTAATAAATTCAAGTGATTTGAGAGGTACTCGGCTGAAAAAGCTGCATTCGTAATCGGTCGACATCACTGTCGATATAGGAAATCCGACAGTGGTTACCACAAAGAAATTGAAGCGTATGTTGAAGAAAGTCGGAAGAGAGACAAATATACTCAAAGGTTCTGTTTTGTTTTTCATTTAAAATAGTAGTTGCAATCACGTACCCGCTAATTATTGAAAGTTATCAGAAACTATCAGCTCTCCGCGTTCGCGTACGCAAAAAATTTGCAAAGTAGGGGAAATTGAGAGAGCAAAGCGACATTTCATTTTGCGGGCAAGCTGTCAGTTTCTGCTGGAAAAATTTTTGCCAACAGGAAAACAGCTGATCGAAAACAGCTGCGACTAATTAAACTTGTAAGAAGTAAGTAGTTTTTCGTTTAATCAATAAACTGTGTCAGGATAACACTTTGTGATGAGTTTTCATACGTTTTAAATTTTACACTTTTAAATGTAATAAAATTATAGTTTAAAAAACTAAAACCTCCCTATTATAATTGCCATTCGTACAGTCAACAGGTATGTAACTTGAGAATATAAATCACTGCATCTTTTAGGCGCATCAATATTACATAGTTACATCCCGAGCTAATAAAATAAAGGAAATAAAAAAAACAAATTCTATCAGCTGTTCGTCTAACTTGCAAGTTTCAGCAAATTTTCTGTTCGCGTACTATTCTAGATATTTTTCTCTTATGATGATGACATTTCGCCTGAATTTTGCTGTTGGATTTTTTTTACTGGAGATTTTAAACGAACGTACCTAATTTAAACAATGTATTATGTTCGAAATGCAACCGTGGATGCCAGCTGGCAGTGAAGCTTGCAAATTTCTTAAAAATCCTCTGCGCGCTAAACTTAAGTAAGGTAAGTTTCTCTCTTTGGGAGAGTAAGATACCTTATTCTCTGAATTTTGTTGCTGGATAACTGCCTAACCAGAATGGTGAATAGGAATGCAAACGATGCATGGATATTTTTGAAACATCGATAATGGGGCACCGAAATTGCGCATATGGAAACTGTGCATTTAGACATTAGGTTTGTATAGTAACTTCTCCAGTAAAACATTGCAGCCAGAGCGTAAAAGCAAAATAGAGCGTAAAATTTACAAGAAGAGAAAACTAGCAGAAAAAGTTACTGAACGCAAAACTAGTAAAAACTTGCAAGTGAATAATTGTTGCACTGTTTTGATATTCTGCTGTAAACATTTTGCTATTTATAAATCAGTTTTAAACTCTTTGCTTTACACACAAGCACTTAAACAGTCTATACTAGATATTAATATTTTGATTTCCACTCATTTTACTTTTGTTTACGCGTAACCAATTCAACAAATTGTAGCTTTTGACATACATTCTTCTTCTTCTTCTGCTAACTAATTTCTGCTAGTAAAAATTTCACTAGCAAGAATTTGCAGCTGCAAATTTTTTGGGTTATTATGAATTTTTCCAGTAAAAATTTGCAGGTTAGTACTGACTATTTTTTTTTACTATATAAACCTAATATGAAGCTAGGGTTATGATGTATTATTTCTGATTTAGCTAGCGAAATAGCTTGTGGCTGTGGTACTACATTCTGTTTAGCCAGTAATTCTTGCTGGCTTTTCCAAACGAACACAACTAATTGCTCATTGCATTCATTCGATTGCAGAGCAATTATTATTACCTGTTATCTGCTTGTCAATGAACATATTCTGAACAGAGGAAGCCGGCGCAGTTTCCCGCGCTATCAGAGTCTCAATTTTGCTGGTATCTTTGGAGTATATTGTTGCGACAAACCCTCCACCCACTCCCATGCTATGCGGCAGCATAACGCCTTCACACAATAACGTAGCAATTGCGGCGTCTACAGCGGAACCACCATCGCTCAGCATCTTCCTACAGATAAAACACATCTGAAATCGTGTTTAAATATTTTAAATCATAAAGCTACGACGTACCCTCCAATGTCAGCGCAGCCATCACCATTCGATACCACGGCTCCATAACCCAGCTTTAATGGCTCATATTGTTTACTTCTCAAACCAAAAATCAAACTCAGTGTAATGCCAATAAT